TATCACTCTTTTTTTTTTTTTAAAGATTTATTTATTTGTGCATACAGAACTGGGGTACAGGCCAGAGGCTCAGGGGCGGCGAGAGGCTTCACCAGAGACAGAGTGGGGAACAGAACAGGCAGATCAATGAAGTACACTGCTGAGGGGAGCAGCGGGCAGGTCAGGAGAGGTCTGCCATGCCATGTGGTCACCTCCGGGGCAGGCGGGAATCGAACTCATGCGGAAGTGGTTTTAGCTTCTCAGTGCTGTGCTTTAACCCGCTGCGCCACCAGGGAGGGCCTATATCACTCTTTTTACACAACTGGCAGCATACTTACCAATGCCTGTACCTGGCAATCATGAGGCAGTCCAGAGTGCCTGAATTATCAGGTAGATCACACTTAATAGGCTACATTCCATACCTAAAGGAGGCTGAGCCACAGGTGGGAACAGTTCTGCATATTTTTTCAGAACTGAGGGGAAGAGTTATCTGGAGATGGTGGCAGCAAGCCTTCCCTCCTGGTGTGGTTAGGAAACTACAGTGTTATGAGCTGGCTGCACCAGATTCCTCAATAAGTGTCTGGGCTGATCCAGTCAGTCACCCTCTCTACTGTCAGCTTTCTGCTATTTAGAGAAACTTGATTTTGGTTTTGGATAGCTGGCTGGGTGATCCTGCCTGAGGCATAAACTAGCTGGATTCTACTGCTCATTTCCTCAATTTTTTTTCTAGGAATAGAACATTCTGTAAAAAGGGAAGGAGTGAGAATGTATATGACCTCTTGCCAAAGGCAGGGTAGGAGCCTTAAACGCTGAGCATGTGCTATGCTTCATACACAGATACAGCAAGCTTTCAGTGACCTGAGCAAGTGCTTCCAGTGACCTGAGAAGGGTGAGATGACTCTGGGCCAAATGGGGCCTGAAGGCTGTACCTAGGAGGCAGGACTCAAAGAGCAGAAATAAATTGCATTGTCATTTGACTGGTATCACAAGCTTCAGTCCTTCAGTCCTACCCAGCTTGCTGGGTCACCACCTCTGCCCTCTTTCAGTTTTATAGCTCACCTAGATGCTACTTTGCTACTGTTTCTTCTCTCCATTTCAATTTTTTTCATACTGGATTTTTCCTGGAGAAAGGAGTTCCCAATAGTTGACCTCCTTGCAAGAAAATTATCAGAAACAGTTGATGGAACCATGGAGGGGGACTGAATTTAACTCTCCCATTTGATGGCCCAAAGAAGGCACATAACATATTACTACTGGTTCAACCTGCTGGAAGGCTGCCCTCCACTGGAACTTTTTTATTTATTTATTTTTTAATTTTGAAAATTTTTAAAAATTTAATAACAGTTTATTTTTACATCATTTTGTACATTTTTTTCCCATCTCAATTGTAATCCCCGCGGGTTTCCCATCACCAAGTCACCCGTGTGCCATCACCACATTCCCATGCACTTCCCACCCCCCCGTTTTTGATCCCATTCCCCACTTCACCCCCGCAAAATGTCTCTGGTATATGGTTGTTCATTATTCTTGTTATTTTCTCGCCTGGTCCATTCTACTCCTGCTATGAGTGAAACCATCCGGTATTTTTCTTTCTCTTTCTGGCTTATCTCACTAAGCATGATCTTTTCCATCTCCATCCAAGTTGCTGCAAAAGACATATGTTTCTCTTTTTTGGTTGCTGAGTAATATTCCATTGTATATTTGTACCACATCTTTTTTTATCCAGTCATCTACTTTTGGGCATTTGGGCTACTTCCATGTTTTTCCAATTGTAAATAAAGCAGCAATAAACATGGGGGTGCAGGTATCTTTTTCAATCAGTGTTTTTGTGTCTTTTGGGTAGATACCTAGGAGTGGGATTGCTGGGTCGTAGGGAAGCTCCATGTTTAGCAGTTTGAGGAACCTCCAAATAGTTTTCCATAGTGGTTGTACTAGTTTGCATTCCCACCAGCAGTGCAGGAGAGTCCTTTTTCTCCACATCCTCGCCAACATTTGTTGTTGCTAGTTGTTTGAAAATGTGCCATTCTCACTGGGGTGAGGTGGTATCTCATTGTGGTTTTAATTGGCATTTCCCTTATTACGAGTGATGTTGAACATTTTTTCATATGCTTGTTGGCCATCTGCATTTCCTCTTTGGAGAAGTGCCTTTTCCACTGGAACTTTCTTATGGAACACCTGAGGCAAAATGTCAACATTCAGTCTAATTGCTTAACAGTAATTTTCACCTTGGATGGAAATCAGCTGATAAGCCTCAGATTTCAAAAAACACTGGATCATTATTTTATTTTTTATTATGTATCCATTAGATTGGCTAAAATTTAAAAGACTTAAAATACCAAGGATTTAGAGCAACTAGTGCTTTTAAACATTCCATATGGGGGTGTAAGTTGATAAAAACACTTTGTAAAGTGCTTAGCTATTAAAGCTTAACATATACTTAACCTATGACATGGCAATTGTACTTTTAGGCATTTACTCAAGAGAATGAAGTTCTCAAGAGACTGCAATGACTGTTCATTACAGTTTCATTGACAATTGTTTAAAAAGTGGAAATTAATGCAAATGACCATTGTCAGAAGAATGTATACTTTATGATATATAAATTTAATGAAATGTCATATTACAGAAATGACCAACCTCTCCCAAAAATAATGAACTATTGATTCATACAACATAGACAAATCTCAAATACATTATATTAGAAAAAGATGTTAGACACAAAAGTGTGTATATACTGTAGATTCGATTTACATGAAATTAGTAGTCAAAAATTTCTCTATGGTGCTAGAATTCAAAATAGTAAATATTGGGGGAATGAAGGGAAGCAAAGGTATATGAACATTACATATCTCAATCTGGGTGATAACTATCACCCAGGTATAAAGAGATAAAAGTTTAACAACCTGAATGTTTAAAATTGTCTATTTTGTATGTACTTATTTTTTCTTTCTTTTTTTTTTAAAGATTTATTTATTTATTTGTACAGAACTGGGGTACAGGTCAGAGATGCGGAGGGTGAGAGGATTCACCAGAGACAGAGTGGGGTATAGAACAGGAAGATCGACAAAGTACACTGCTGAGGGAAGCAGCGGGCAGGTCAGGAGAGGTCTGCCTCACCCTGTGGATCACCTCCAGGGCAGGCGGGAATCGATCTCATGCAGAAGTGGTTTAAGCTTCTTAGTGCTGTGCTTTAACCTGCTGTGCCACCAGGGAGGGCCCAGTACTTATTTTTTCTCTAAAGTGCACTTTATTGCTTCTGCACTGTAGTAAAAGCAATATAGCTGATAAAATACTTTATCATTTCAAAATTGTTTTAAATTCAAAATTGTTTAAAATTCAAGACTATCAAATCTACAGCTTTCACTGTCTCATACCTGAAGGATTGCATCACCTCCAACTGGCTTGCTTATTATCAGTTGCTTCTCTTTGACAGGTTCTGCGGAGCAAGTGTTTGGTTTTACTAATTTCCAGCTTAACAAACTTTGTTGGCTCCCATGTATCTATGGGATACAGTCCAAGCACCCCAGAGAAGACTTTCCTAACCTAATTTTGACTTGTTTTTCCAGATCTCTCATGCCTATAACACCCAGTATCCAGAACCTTTTACATCTCTTTACCATTGGACTCCTTCTCTGAGCTCCCACTGTACTACCTGTTTCTTCCTCTGTCCAATTCCTCTTTACACATCACTGTCCAGCTATTAAAGTTTTCTCAAATGTCCATAACCCTCAGCTTCTAATTTCCTGTGTTTTTAAAAGCTTAGCACAGCCATCACAGAAAAGTCTACATTTTATGTGACTCAACATTTACATTCAACTAAATGTTTTCTGAGAGTTGGTGTTATTTCTATTCATTTCTGGATCCCTATGCTCAGCATTTGCTAAATAAATGGGTGCCAACTGAATTGAATTTTAAGTTCCATTTTTGTGGCAATGCTGCTTACTCTTCAGAGGTAGAACTTGGGGATGAAAAAGAGTATAGAAGGGTTGGTTTAGGGCCTTCCCTGGTGGCGCAACAGGTTAAAGTGCAGCACTACTAAGCTAGCAGCAGCCGTTTCAGCGCTAGTTCTATCCCTGGCCAGGGAGGTGACCCACATGGCACAGCAAACCTCTCCTATCTCTCCTGCTGCTCAACTCAGCAATATACTTCATCAATCTGCCTATTCTGCTCCCCACTGTGGCTCTGGTGAATCCTCTCACTGCCCCTGCTCCTTTGGCCTGTACCCCAGTTCTGTATGCATAAATAAATAAATCTTTACAAAAAGAAGGGATAGTTTAAATTAGATATAAATTGGTGTTTAGTTTGGGTTTTCTATTTGAGAGGTACAAATTCTCCAACGGGTTAGTGACTAGCTATATGTGGCTATTTTAATATTATAACTAACTAGAAGTAAAGTTAAAAATTGCTTTTCAGTTTCACTTGCCACATTTAAATATTCGAAAGTTTTCTATGACTACTGGCTACTGTGTCAGACTTTGTAAAAAGGAGTAGTTCTATTGTCGCATAAAATTCTATTGGACGGCGCTGGAAATCTCTGGCTTTTATACTTACTCCTTTTAAGAAACACGGTTTCACCCTCTTCCCACACAGCTTCCACCATGACGATCAGTACCCTTATTGTGTCTGTAATTACTCGCGTCATTTAATGGATTGAAGTTCCAAGACTGCAGGGACAGTCTTGTCGCTCCAGCCTTTAGCTTCGAAACACAGCACACACTAGGCGCTCAGTAAATTATGAATTAACGAGAGGGATCTTGCAGATATGCCAGTCCCCAGCTCTTTTCGTATGCTGATCAGTCCTTTATAAACCTCCAACATTATTTAGGCTTAAGCTGATTTTAAAGCTGAAGAAAGGAAAGCGTGGGGCACCTGCTGATTCCAACTCCCGAGAAGTCCGCCGCGGGCATGGCGTCACAGCCGCGTGGGCCCGCCCCCTCCAGCCTCGGCTCCGCCCCGCCCCGCCCCCGTCCGGCTTGCGCGTTGGCCAGCAGCTCAGCCCCCGCCTCCCCCGCTCGTCACTGCGCAGGCGCTGCCCGCGAGCGTGGGGCGTCCTGAGGCTGCAGGCTGCCGGCGCTTAGGAGCGTGGGGGTTTGCGGCCTTCGTTCAGCCGGCCCCGGTCGCGCACTACCTGAGGCAGCGAGGCGCATCTGTCCCAGCCTCCCCGCGCCTGGACAGTGTGGCCATGGAGAATCAGGTGCTGACGCCTCACGTCTACTGGGCTCAGCGTCACCGCGAGCTGTACCTGCGCGTGGAGCTCAGCGATGTGCAGGTAAAGGCCGGATCCCGGCCCGGGACGCTCGCGGGGTTGTAGTTCCCGAGTCACCCCGGACCCCCGCCCGCCTTGTCCCTGTGCGCTCGGGAGGTCCTGCAGTGCGCCAGTGGGATCCGCGACGTGTGCGCTCGCGGCTTCCAAGCCAGGACGGGGCTGCCTCTCGTCGAGGCGCATCTCACACCCCGGGCCCAGGGCGCCACCCCCTCGGGGCTGCAGGGATCTTCGGGTGCTGTGCGATCCTGCGCGGCCTCCTCTTTGTTCAGAGTTTGCGTCCTGGTGGTGTCCCACCCCAGCCCTGGAGGCCTAGCCGTCGGGTGTCGGGTTTGCGGGGGGACCTCAGGGGTGTGGGATGAACTCGGCGGGCTTGAGGTGCAGTGAGACAGTCCGCTGGGCCTCGGTTGGACGTTTAGCACTGACCTGAGAGGTCCAGCCAGGCCTCGCTGGAGTTCACGAGGCCGCTGCTGCTTCTCAGGGGCCACACCCACCGCCCTACCATTTAGTAGGGGAAATCATGCTTGTTACTTTTAAAATCCAGAAGACCTGAGGCATCGATTTCCACTCCTCTACACCCCCCAGCTCCTGTGCTGACGGCTGTGAACTCAGATTAGTTGAGTTGCATAAAGAACTTAAAAATTAACCTTGTTACATTGACCATTTATGTTTGATCTCCTCGGCCCCGTGTGAAAAAACGGAGGCCCCCTAAGTGGGGGGTGGAGATCCTGGGACCGTGAGCCCCTTTATCTCTGTTCAAACCATCCGTTTCAGTCTTTGAGCAACTGGAGTTTTCAGTCTGGAATGTTCTTTCAACAATCATCCATACTCCCTGCTTCTTAGCATCTCTGGCACTTTGTAGCCTCTTTGACCCTGCTTGAGTAAAGCGGTTGTTTGGCTCCTTCAGCTTTTGTCTTGCAAAATGTAAGCTGCTCTTTGAATTTGGTCACAAATTTGTCGAATTTAATCTTTGCTTTTGGAATATCAACCTGTTTCCCACTGGGGGACAAAAAAGACAGCATTGGCCAGAGTGCTTTTAGGTAGGATGTGACACTGCATGGTGTGTCATTTAATGTGTTAAACCAGACTGAATTATACTTTTGCGTCAGAGGATGAATAGATGTTCTGTGTTGTCTCCCTCTACTCTCTACTCTCTCTTTGTGTTCTGACAAAAAAAAAAAAAAAAAAGAAAAAACCAAACAAAATCTTTGTAGGGGATCAAAGTCTCCCTCTAGAAAGAATTTTCTCAGCAATCAATAAGAAAAGTACAAAAACAATGTTATGACAATATCCTTTAAATATTTAGTTAGGTATTATACACATAAACTAAATAAATGCAGATCTTGTCTTCTCAGATGTCTATCCTATAATAAGGATGAAATATTCTGGGACACTTTTGAAGCTATGAACACAAAAGGTATTTTAGAGAATGGAAATTAGTTGGCCAAGTGGGGGGAAAAAAGGATCATACTTATACACTTATATTTTTTAGAAAGATCATTTTCTTGAAAGATATGAACCACTTAGTTAAGAAACATGAGAACATATATTAATCATATTTGGTATATTTTAAAATATGGAGGAAAACATTTGAAATATTATAATTAAAGAAATGGGAGAACTTTCCAGAAATATAGAGACAGACTTTAGATTTTTAACTTGTGCTGTGTCAATGCTCTATCACCAAAGGCTGCCAGAGCATACCACCCCCATAAATATATCACACAGTGTCTCAAGAGTTTGGGTTTGGGCTTTGGTGATTGGGGAGGATATAAGGAAGCGAGGTTCACTTTTAGGTTAGATGCTGTGAGAAAATGCGGTAATTCTTTGGGTGTTTAAATAAATTTCATCTATAGGCGGGAGAGACAAAACAAGAAAAAAATTGTAAGGTAGAGAAGTAGCAGTCACTCATTTTAACCAGGAGGAGAAAGGGTGTCTGGTATTTTGTGGGTGTCATAGTGGGCATGCTTTTGTCTGTGCTTACACAAAATTATAAAATAGCTTTTGTCTCATTTTTCCAAGGTTTCAAAATAACCTTGCCTGAGGTTGGTACTTTGTGAAGTTTTTTTTTTTTTTTTAATGTCCAATAGCGGAATAACATGGCCCACTTGTGAGTGCCAGGCCAGCTTTGAATGCCACTGGCTGCCCTCTTTAAAAATTTCTCAGTTAATTGCTCTGAGTAGTGTCAGTGACATTACTGACTCTGGCTCAGGATGAGCTAGTTAATATATTAGTTGCATGGAAAACTTTTGTGGAGTACCTACTCTTGTTTTATTACTTGGTTGTTGGATAGCTCTCTGACGCCCTCTGCTTTCCATAGTGTATGGCACTGCTTTATGTATAAGTATGAGTTTTATTGTTGAATTTCTTTTTGGAGGGCAACCAACTCTGATTCCCTCCTTTGCAGAGACACAGAGAACTGTCCTGTGGTTGCATCTCTGTTCTGTTTTTGGAGTTACAGTGTTAGTGAGAAATAAGAAATCACTGCTGTTTGAAAAGGAATGGTTCACAATAAAGACTTCACTAGCAGTATTGTCTTTTAGGTGAGCAAAGTGGCCCGCAGGAGCCCCAGGAACTAGGGTGGAGTTATTTTTAAAATACAGTTTATTTTTAAGATAACTCACAGAATTGTTTCGAGTTTGGATAATGAATTGGAGAATGGTTTGTAAATTCTCATATACTATTAAAGTGTATTCAAGGATTATTTTTGTGACGGTAAACCTTAGAAAGAGAAATACAAAGAACAATAGAACAGTATTGAGTCTATTAGCAGACTTATCCCTAAGGACAGGTTTTTGCCAACCGTCATAATTGTTAAAACATTTGTTCGTTCATCAAGGTTTTTGTTTTAGTTTTATGTGGACAAGATGCATAGCCCTGTTTGGGAACTGTATGAAAGACACTGTTCTTGTCCTTATTTAGTAGTGTGGTAGGAAGATTGGTAGGGAAGGCATACGTGAATCTTTCTATTGACTGTCTGGTGGCCATGGATAACTCACTTAATCTTTATGAGCCCTTGTCTGTGCATCTAAATAAATATGAATAATAATACCCAGTTCAAAAAATTGTTTTGAGGTTTGGATAATGGATTGGAAAGTGGTCTATAAATTCGCATGTGCTATTCAAGGGTAAGGTATTACTTGTGTGATCTTAATACTTAGGTGGAAGAGAGAAATACAAGACAGGATAGAATCTATTGGCAGACTTATCCCTACATGAAAATCTGCTATATAACAGAGGAGGCTTTACAGATTAACAGGGAAACAGATGAACTGTTCAGGAAATTATATGGGAACAATTAGCAATCCAAAAAGCAATGAGGTAAAATAAGGCCTTACCATAACAAACCTTATACAAAAGTCAGTTTCAGGTGGGTTAATGACCTCAATGTAAAGCAAAACTATTAAAAGAAAATACAGGAAACTATGGTATAGGAAAAGGGAAGAATGCATTATAAACAAAGCATACAAAACATAACCTCTAAAGAAAAAGATGGATAAATTTAAGACAAACACAAATCAAGATCTCCTTCTGGAGATAATAGTTTGTGAATGTATTTTTAACAGTTTCCATGTAGAAATTGAAATAGTTGCATAACTACAGATGCAGAGGTTGGGATAATAGTCTGGGGTGAAAATAGAATTTAATGAAATTTTACACTTCATTGGTTGTTATGATGCATTATTATTTTATGTACCATGAAGAAAAAAATTGCACACCTAAAACTTACATGCTGTAATGCATTATTTCAAAACAAAAATAATTTGAATTCTTTAGAAAAAATTTTAATGAAAAATAACTAAAAATACAGCTGATTAAACTGTGATATATTTGTGTTTATCCCTTAGAATATTTGATTTTTTTACTAATTGAAAAACCTCTCAAATTTATTTAAACCAAACGTCACCAGAAACACATCTTGTTTTAACAAGTTTATTGCTGATTTCAGCAATGGATCTATGTGATGAACCATGGAGTATTTCAGGGGGTGTTAGACTTGGGATTTGACTGAGTGATTGGGAAAGGCTGAATAAATGGGGATTTTCTGCTGTCAGAAAGCTGAGGGACAGTTCTGTGACTGGATTTTTATGGGTGGCATAGTGACCTGTGCTTAGACAAAAATTACAGAGATGACCTTATATTTTTGTAATTTTGTCATGATTTCAGAGTAACAGGTATTTTTGAAATTTTTATGTTCAGTACAAGAACAAAATGCCCTTGCTGTGAGCTTTAGACCATCTTGTAATTTTGAGATCTAGATGTGAACACTAGGTCAGTTTTTTTTCCTCAAGAGTTTTGTTTTTTTTCTTAAAGATTTATTTATTTGTGCATATAGAACTAGGGTATAGGCCACAGGTGCAGGGACAGTGAGAGGATTCACCATAGACAGAATGGGGAACAGAACAGGCAGATGGTCAAAGTATACTGCTGAGGGGAGCAGCAGGCCTGTTAGGAGAGGTCTGCCCGACCATGTGGATTACCTTGGGGGCAGGCAGGGATCGAACTCATGATGAAGTGGCTTTAGCTTCTTAGTGCTGTGCTTTAATCTGCTGAGCCACCAGGGAGGGCCTCTCAAGAGTTTTTAAAAACACATAAATATCTCTATACTCTTACTCTTCTGTACATATAAATATGAAGATATAAGCAAAATAATTTTTCAAGTTATTTTTAAATCATCTATATTTTTAGAATCTACTCTTTTGAATCAGGTTTCTATTCATGTAGAATCTTTTCTATCATAATAGCACTAGTAATGGAGCATTTATGAAAGATTACTATTATCACTGGCATTTTTTCCAAGTCATCAATGCCTATTTATCCAATGCTAGCACTTTCTGGATCTTACCAGACTGTCAACAAAATGTTTCTAGACAAGAACCAGCTCTCATACTGCTGAAAGTGGCCTTTGAGTGGTTTGCTGATTGAAACATTGAGTTGCACCTATGTAGTCACACCATCTGGAGTAATGACCAAGCTTGAACATGCTTAGGCAGTGATTGCCACTT